ACCCCTCCAATGCGCTCCGCGCACCGTGTGGGACAGAGCGCGCAAGAGAGAGCGGACGCAGACACACGAAGAGGAAGACGACAAAACAAACAGCACATCCAACGGCAATGCTTCGCCCAATCAATGCCGTTGTGCGTGTGTTGTGCGGCGCTGGTCCAACAGTGGGGAATCAATCGGTGAAACCGAAAGGGATTCCGGAAATCCAGATTATTGCGTCGAGGACCCCGCGCGCGCGCGCACGCGCATTAGCAGACGGCCTCGCAGACCAGCGCCACCAGCAACAGCAGCGGCGCACGCGCCCACACAGGACTGACACTGCCATCCGCACTGCCACTGGCCCTCTGTGCCTCATTGTCGCTTCTTGGGGTGACTGAATCCACGGGATTCGTTTCGGGTAGGGCTTCTGCCCCCCCTTTGGGATTCCCGTCCGCTGCCTCTGGCGGTGAAGTTGCGCTGGGCTCTTCAATCGGAGTGCTTGCGTCAGCGTGGGCGCCTGGCGTCGCTGTCTCCGTTGGTATCTGCGGCTCCGCCTCGCCACGTGCGGGTGCGACGCTGCCTTCCGCTGCTGGTGCTGGGTTGCTTGGGGGCACAGCGCGTTCAGGGACCTTTGCGAGCCCCGAATTTTCTGCGAGAAACCTTCCCAACTCGTTTTGAGTTTTTTGCAGCTCGGTCCTCGTCACTCTCTGCAGTTCCCTCGCATGCCCCGATGCATCCTTACTGGCAGCCGCCGCTTCCTGCCCCAACTTCTTTACCGCATCAGCTCTTTCCGCTGCTGCTCTGACGTATTGCGCAGCAGCAGTGGCTGATGTCACTGCTTCATTCGCAAGGTTCTGCGCCCCTTTCGCCGACTGCTCAGCCAACCGAATCTTAGCTTCAATCTCATCGACCTCCTCGTCAAAAACGATATCGGATGTTTCCTCAGCATGCATTGCTGCGTGTAGGGCCTTTCCTTCAGCTTGCCTCGCCTTTCCTGCCGCATCTTCCGCCGCTTTCGCTGCCGCGGTGGCGCTCTCAAATGCCTCTTTTGCCTTCCCCATTGCCTGCGAGACCTTCTCTGTTATATTCTTCGCGATGTCGGCGGTCAGCTTTGCAGCCGCTGCGGCCGCCTTGCACTGCCCCGCCTTCTCCGCAGCGGCCCCTGCCCGCCCTGCCTGTGTCTGGGCTTCCTGGCTCCTGGCGAATGCGGTTTGGGCGGGTTCCCCAGCGGACAAAATATAAGTACTCGCACTGTAGGCTGTCGCACTTGCTACACGAGCCTTCTCATGCGCTTCAGAAGCCTTTTCCATTGCAGAATCGGCATATTCCTTAGCGTCACCCAGCATGTTGCTCTTGACATATTGCCTTGCCTGGTTGATATGCCCCAGTGCTTGCCCAGCCAGCTCTGCTGCCTCCTTAGCGTTCGTCAATGCCGTATCCACATTGCCCACCGCCTGCTCAGCAGCACTGGCTGCCTGCTCAGCCTTCCTCGTTATCAGTGTAGCGGTAGCGTACGCAGCAATAGTCAAGCTGAGCGCCTCATCAGCATTCCTTATCGCCTCGGTATCATCAGCCACCTTCTTCCTTAACGCCCCCTCGGTCACACCAGCTCCCTCCTTCGCAGCTGACGCGCAGGCACATGCGCAGCACAGCGCAATTACAAACAAGAACGGCACAGGACGCACCATCATCCCTCTTTGTATTGTTATTATTGCTGTTGCTTTAGAGTGTATTACTTAGCAGTGCGTATGCGGACTTGTAAAAGAAACAGAACGAATGCAGCAACAAGTAGTATGGCAGACATGCAGTGGAACCACTTCGCAATACACAAGCACACACAAACGCCCACGCACAGGAGAGAGAATTACCCCCTCCCCAAACTGTGAGTTGGCGCACCGACGCGCGCGAGACCCACGTCCCCCACACCACCGTCCCGACCGATAACGCAACAACGCCTCTCATCGTGACGCCTTCCAAACGCAGCGGCGGAAAGTGCTGCACCAGCGCCCCTCCCTCGTCCGCTGCCCGGCCCCTGCGGCAGACGCCGTGGTGGGCAACGGGGGAAACATCAAGGCCGATGCCGTGAAGTGTGCGGGCAGAGGGGGCGCCATGCTTGTCGGGAGGGGCGCGGGCGCCGTACACAGGCAGCGCCACGCGATACCCCGCTGCCCCGCAGCACTGCAGCACCGGCATCGCTTGCGGCAGGCTACAGAGAGGTGAGGGCCTTATTGCTGCTCTGTCAAACAACTACATTGACAGTCTTTTCCCTGTCTTGGGCGTTCACTCGTATCGGCGAATGCCGTGAGCAAAGTGTCAGTAAAAATGAACACTATTCTTCAGGTAAATGTAGCTTGAGAGTCAAACAAGAAAAGTTCGTTGACGAGTGAACGAAAGAACCATGATTACGCCACTGTTGGGGTAAGATGTGAGACATAGTCAGCAAGACTGATTACGCTTACACCAAGGGGTACGGTAATGATCTTGAGGAGTCGGATGGGGGTTTTCTTATCAACTTGTCTTTCCCGCAATACGAAAGGACACAGTGTGATGCCTCACTCTCCTGAGACAGGGACCGCAAGCAACAACAACAACAACAAAACAAACAGGATTGAGAGTTAATACCGACCTTACCGCAAGATTAAAACATCGTTGAAAGCAATCGCGTAATTAAAAAAAAAACAGAGTGTCGCATGTCTTCTTTTTTTACAGCCGTAAAAGAGAATAACTGCAAACAAAAACGAAAAAAAAAAAAGAAATTAAAGAAGATTTGGCTCCAAGCAGTTTGAGTTTCTGTTGGTGTATGAAAGAGAAACAGAGCAGCAAAGCAAAAAAAAAAAAAGAAAAAGACTTTATATCCATCCATTTTGACAGAACTTCTGCCGTGTATAGACAATGGGGGGTTTATTGTGTATTTGTGCGAGCTGTGCGTGTAGATCATTCCGCGCGTTCAGGTGCTACCTATGCACAGCGTTGTATATAAATATATATATATACATATATATGGGTGTGTGTAGAGGCCCACGAGGTCAGGGGACGAGCAGCACAGAGGCTGCCGCCGCAAAGAGCACCAGAGCTGACCATAGGCGCGGCTCGGAAAAGCCGCCATCGCTCTCCTTCACTTGTGCCTTTTCAGCTTCGTTATCGCTGCTGACACTGCCCTCGACCTTTTCAATGACCTCCTTGAGAGTGCTTTCCTGCTGGAGACCGTCCTTTTTGCCTTTCTGCTTGGCACCGTTCTTTTTGCCTTCCTTCTTGGCACCGTTCTTTTTGCTTTTCTGCTCGGTGTCGGCATTTTTGTGGTCATCATTGCCGTTGTCGTCTTCTTCATAGTCGTCGTCGTCGTCCTCGTCCTCCCCCTCCTCGCTGTCGTTGATGTCAATGTTGCTGAGGTCGGTGCACATCTCCTCGTAGCGCGGGCATATAATGCGGCCGCTGCTGAAACGAGACGACTTGGCAAGATCAAGTGCACTGCCGTCACGACACACGAGCCACTCCGCCGCGCCCTTGTACCGCACATGCACGGCGCCGTTTTCGCACTTCACATTTGCGCNCACACGAGCCACTCCGCCGCGCCCTTGTACCGCACATGCACGGCGCCGTTTTCGCACTTCACATTTGCGCACACATCACCAACGGGCCGACTGCCCTCCACAGGGTTCTTCAGCACAATTCCGTCACCCGTCAGGCACCGGGACTTGGCGCCCACAACGCTCCCAGGCATCCCCTCCACATCCCCATCTGCACAAAGCGTATCGTAGGTGGGCGTTATGATAGGGCAGTGCTTCATTTTGGAACTCTCGGGACCCCCCAGGCGCAAATTACCGAAGTACGTGTACTGCTCAGGGAGAATCGGGTACTTCTCCATGACACAACTCCCCAGTGCATAGCGATCGGATGTGCATCGCAAGGCCTCTGAGGTGGCTGTGCAGAACATGCTGGGGTACTCGGTGACGTTGTTCTCGATGCACTTACCCTGAACAAAAGGGCAGCCGGATCCTTTTCCCCAACTCATCGTCTCTGCCATGCTGAAGTTTGCGCGGTAATATCCCAAATCATGGAACACAGACATCGTCAGTGCCGTGTAATATGCGCCACTGGAAACATCAACATACGGGCTCATCAACTCGTCCTTCGCGACGCGCCGTGACCAGTGCAATCTGTTGGCCTGAGTAACTTCAAGAGGCATAGCCTTAAGGGTCTTGCAGCTGTAATGCTGTTGCGCCGCCTCCACTGTCTTCTTTGATATCACAGANAACGATTCCTCGGTGTTCCGTCTCTTCATTTCATATTTGACGATATTGGCGCTGCTGTGGCCCATTGCTCCTCGGGTGAATCCAAGCGCATGCGCAATCTCATGCGCTGCAATTCTTACGTGGTATCGCATTCCAGTGATGAGGGAGGGCCGGAAGTTCAAGCCACCAGATATGGGCCTCCCCCACAGGCCAAAAACCCTTGCAGCAGCAGTATCCCGGGAGCATGTGTCACTAAAAATGGGACCAGGCGCAGCGGCGACGTACAGCACAAAGTCAGCGTTGGGCACACCTTCCGTGTGGTGCGTGGGTGGGACAGTGAACTTGGAACAGGTCTGCGTGCTATAGAATGGAGCGATCTTTAGATTCCCCTTCACGCTCCGCACCTGAAGGCGATCGGTGTGCAGCTTGATAGCCTTGGGTATCATTGTGTCGACGAGGAGCTTATTCTTTTCGCTCGTGACGACATCCTCAGCCTCACAGGACACCTGCACCTCACTTTTAGAAAAGGTGCGACGCATCTGGGATTCCTGCGTGCAAAGGTATTTCGACGTGTCCTTTAGATCCTCTGCGGACGCGTGGATGCGGATTGGCGCCCAGTTTTCTTCAACCGCAGCAACGGTGTACGTCTGCCATGCACCTTGACCCTGAACCGGAAGCTCATGCACGACAGACACAGAACCTGAGCGGGCCTTTCCTCTTGGGAGCCCGTCAAACGTGGGACTTTCTTCACGCGAGGCGAAGCACCCACAGGCGCTTAACAGCATCAGCAGCATCCATAGTAGCGGTACGCTGGCATTACAATGCGTGTGGTGTTTCATAGCGTACGTGTGCTTCTGCATGTGTGTATGTGTGTGTGTCCTTGCTTTAGCTTCACGCGGCCTTCCCTTGTCACAAAGTGCCCTTTCTGGCACCAACGCAACATGAAGCAGAGAGACGGGCAAACCCCCCCCCC